GTGGACGGCAGACTTGAACCCCTGAGACTACCGCCCACACAAAACCGCGCCCGCTCCGCACGTGTCTCTACAAGATTAGAGTGCAGGCCGGGACGGGCCCCGCCAGGGCCCATTATCCCAACCTGTGCCGTCCATCTTCGCCGAACTATCCATCTCATCAAAAGCAGAGCTCGCGTTATGGGAACTAATATTTAATTATATTTTTTGCAAATAAATATATAATATACATAATATACAAATAACACACACACCGATAAACAATTATACACGTGAATACAATTGTTTGTACCATTCGAGGATTCGAACATAATACCATCAGAAATAAAGCCACAGACCACTGAGGCCGTGAAATGCAACGAATTTTCATTTCAAACAAAAAAACTCACCGCCATAACTAAGTACGTCTTTACAAACACCTACATGAAGTAACGATCATCACAACACTAATAATCTTATCAACATTTCTATATAATTAGGGATTTTTATCGATTATTTATTCCACTGTTACTTTAATCTGATATAATATTAAAAACGCTATGTACATATATATACAAACGTTCACAATTCACACAGCGCGTCACTGTACCGGAGTATACCAGTTAATTTATGCGGAACTAGGGATTCGCTTACAAGTCTTACAACTCGTTTGCTAATCATTTCTCCGTTTAGTTATTTCTAAAACTAATATTATCCGCAGCTTGGGCGAATCCTGAGATGTAATGAGTAATGTAAATTAGACTCTATTTTTTATTTATTTATTTATTCTCAAGCACACAAAATTGTATACATGGCGAACTTAATGCCTGATGGCATTCTCTACCAGTCAACCGTCGCATTGATCAGAGATAGCATTAGTCGGAGATAGCACACAGCATTGTGGAACACCAGCATTCACAGAATGTGGGTCGGAGCAAGCACCATCGACATCATCTTGATGTTCCGATCAATGAGAAAGCTGGCGACCCATTTGCATAACTTCGCAGGCAACCCGAAAAATGAGCTTTGTGCCAAACCCGATCAAAGGCCTTCGCAATATCCAGACTAACAGATAGGGCCTCCCCCTATTATTAAGCTGTTTAAATATTTTCATTATTTCGGCTGATGTTGTGTGTGCCAAATTAAATACAGCTGATGACTTGCTAACATTGTCTTTTAGTAAAGTTTGAGCCTCAGACAGGAAAGATTTTAGAGCCCGTTTCTTAATTAATGGAAAATTAGTAAAATAAGATTCGAATCTATCTGCGACCTCTGTGTCCGAATTTACCAATTTGTTACTAATATTTTAGGCTATTTTGTTATTTTGAACATTAACTTTTGCAGTTTCACTTTATATAACTTTCCAAGTGGCTTTTACTTTATCTTTAGATTTAGTTATTATTTTTCCTAAATATGGAGACTTAGCTGTCTGACAAACCTTTTTAAATATTTTCGAATAAGATTTTACATATTCATGAAATAAAGGATCGGATATATAGCTTCATTTTTCGTAAAGTTCGTAAAACCTTATACTTATAATACCAAACGTGACCCAGTCACAAAACTTTGATTCTACACTAGTAGAAAATGTTTTTGTTATAAATTCACTGCTAGGTTCTTGCTCAATTAAGTTAAGAATATGTTCACATATGTCAATGTCCGGGTCATATTAAGGTACTTCGAGACTAGATATTTTATGTTAAATTTTATTTTTAAAACGCGTCAATTTTTTTTGTTTTATCTGTCTACATGTAATTTTTTCAGTCCCATTAAATCCTTCAATTATATTTTTTTGTCCATAATGAGCCAAGACAGTGGAAATTCATTTTCACCTTTACTTCACAAATACTTAAAAATATTATCTGATATGACAGTGTAATTACAAGGTATCGAAACATGACACCTTTCTTAATTGAAGGGTTTGGACTATTATCATGCATTTTCGGCCTATATTTCGGCACTGTGATCTACATAGATATATTGTGCTCGCTCTTTTTTAAACTTTGCCACCAAGACCCGTAGGAACAAGAATTGAAGGAGAGCTGTTGTAGAGCCTTAGACTGCCAGAACTCTTCTCAGATGCTAGAACTCTTCTCAGATGCGCAGAAGCCTCCTGATGTCTTCAAATATTTTCTGAGTGAACGAACTGTCATTACGCTAGTAAATGAAATTATGGAAAGACGGTTTTCAAAAAGGAATTGTACAGTAATATGTATTGAAAACAAGGCAGATAAAAGAAGCATGAGAATAATAGTGACAATATACTGTATATTGTCACTATTATTCTTATGCCATATCTTTAAAATATCAACTGATAGATAATATAAAACGTAAATAATATATAAAAGAGTGCGTCGTGCACAGACTTCACAGAGCGATCTCACCGTTCCGACGATTTGTGTATATTTGTGTTTATGCTGCTGCATGATTATTTCTGAGATGACCTTATTTGATGGTAGTTATTCAAATAAGATATTTTTATTATTTTAGACATATAACGTAACAGCTAATTTTCCTTACCAGTCTTCTGTACGTTAAGGATAGTGATAAAAAAAATACAAAAATTTGCAGACAAAGTGCCATAGACAAATAAACGATTAGTAATATTTGACTTCATAGAAAATATGTAAACTATCAAGCAATTTACTTTGTAAGTGTTCTAAATCCAGAACAGCTCTCTCGTCAGGCAAGGTTTTTGGTAATAAAATAAATATTCTTCTTAATGTGTATATATTTTAAAGAGGGCTATGCCATTACATTTTCCTATAAAAAAAATAAAAAACTAGAGGTTGAAATAGTGTTGACCGTGCAAAAAATGGAACATGCTTTCAACGTCTGGGAAGTTGAAAGCTTGGCTTTCAACAAGAAATGTCAGTCAGAGGGAAAATATTGCTAAACAATCTTCGGACGGCTCCATTAGTGATCTTCACATCCGCAATGCGATTAATGCCACCGGTTCCGGGATAAACTGCAACAATGCAGCCCATTTTCTATCTTATGAGAGGCAAATTGTCCTCCTTCACTATAACCAAATTGTTCAGCTGTAAATCTGACTTCTTAGAGTACCATTTATTGTTTTGCTATAGTTCACTGATATATGCTTTAGACCACCTGGTTCAAAAATATTGACGCAGTTATTCTAGTCTTTGAAATCGATTTAGATAGGCTTCTAAGGGGGTGTGTGTGTGTATACGTCTCTTCAAGGTTTAGGTCTATGATCTGCTTCGTCGAGAACCTGGGAGCTTGAAATGATAGAGACGACAGACTCTGCAAATAGACAAACAGAGAATAGAAGTGATTATTTATAAAATTGTTTCGGCCTTATATACAAAGTTACACGTATCGCATACACGCGCTGCTGCAGGTAGCAACGGCTTGATGGTCGCGCAGCTGCGCTTCTAATGTTACACGTACCGTGCGATAAGAGTTCTAAGAACTAAAGGTGGCACGTGTAGAAAGTATGCTACTACACGTTAAAGGAAGGTCTTGATGATCAGGAATTGGAAGTGCAGTTAGCGGTCTTCCTATTAAAAAGTGGGTGTAAGCGGCGACAAATCATTTGAATCATCTGAGAGAGGCGTAAGCGATCTTGAATTTAGAATTACTTCAATCTGAGTAAGAACAGTGATCAACTCCTCGAAAGTCAAATTATAATTGCCCAATACTCTATATAAGTGATACTTAATTGCTTTAAGGGGGGAATAGGGTTTTAAATTGCTTTCTTTTCGTTTGTTTTATTTTGAAATTTCGTAGAAACCCCCCTTAATAATTATTTTTAATTGGATGGATAATTGCTGGAATGGATAATTTTGATTTTTTTATTTCAATCTTGATACATAAATATCTATAACTGGATGATTGATACAATGTACACATATGTCCATTAATGTACAATATAGTAGCACTAATAATAATTAAGATAGTTAAGAAAAATTATAATGTATTTTTATACATAAACAAATAAAGCTTAGTTTTAAAGAGATAAGTTAACAAGTTTAACAAATGACTAGATTTATATAAGGGTACAAAACAATATATATTTTCTTTTAGAATGACTTAATATTGCTGCAATATTTTTGGTTCATACATATATAAATTATCTTATTTAAGTAATTACAGAAACGGTCGATTAAAAATTACAACTGAATATTAGAATTTTGAACAAAAAAAGTGAGGTTAAGTTAAGTTAAGTACTAACACGCCTGAGTAAGTGAAGGAAACCTGATTACAATCAATAATACTGATAACTATTACAGACAAACCTTCTTTCTGCTTATTTTATAATTTAATATTGATAAAACAGTACTAGTATAACCTGAATGAAAAGAATATTGGGTTAAATGATTTATGTAAACGATCACTGATCACTTCCCTTAAATTCCTTGGCTCTGGCTCATATTTACCATGTTCTGGATTTCGCTTTCCCGTCAGGTAAAGTTTTTGGTAATAAAATAAATATTCTTCTTATTGCGTATATATTTTAAAGATGGCCATGACATTATATTTTTCTATAAAAAGCAATCAAAAACTAGAGGTAGTGTTGACCGTGCAGAAGATGGAACCATAAGATTTATTAAAGGATAAGATGTAGTAGTGAATGCGTATCGCATCTAGTCAAAGTAAACAAAAATATACTCAATCATGTATGTCTATAACAGATTCTTATAATATGTCAAATCTACCGTCAGTTCGAAGTGCATTCGACCTAAGAACAACTAGAAGATACTCAAGAAACTTCAAGAAAGCTCTTATTGTTTTCAAATTCAATTAAGGTGAATATTGCAGCATATGCAATTGCAATTTCGTCAAAAGGAAGTTGTAACCCGAACAGACCTGTTCTCTAGTATGATGTATGAAGACAGTCACGGCCTTCATCAACGGTAAGTTTAGCATCTGTTGGTTGTCCAATTACATAATAAAAACTATAATATAATATAGTTTCCAATACAGGATTATACTTTAAAAATATTATGGAATCCTTACAGCTACTATACTCAATCGTAATTGATTGCTGTCTTTGAAACCTACACATGAAGTACCACAGTATCATCAGAATCAGAATCGGAATTTTGCTCTCCATAATCTACACTCACGATTGCTTCTTTACTACTATTACTGTTGCAACTATTCTGTTCAATCTTCTTTACTGTGTGTTCATTGTTTTCTTGTATTATACTATTATATTTTTCTTTAAAATTTTCAGGATTTGAACTTGCTGAAAGTTCAATATCATTTATTATGATATGATGACTACTGCTACTTGCTTCTGCTTCATTTAATAATACCTTTGTTGATTTATTAATATGCTGTGATTGTGACGGTACAGTCACAGTATCACTCACATCTGATCGATTTGAACTATTTTTTTTAACTTTAAATTATTTCTAATTGCTATATTTGAATTGTTTGTCACAGGTTTCTTTAAATCCTTACGTTGATTGTGATTTTGTAGAGGACATGCAGATGATGTTGAAGCTATAGGTTGCGCTTCTAAATTTTGTGATAGATCCAAAGGTGCTGAAGCTTGTTGAGATGTAGGTAATATATTTGTTGTAGTCTGAGAAGACTGTACACCACTTTTAGCATTTCTTATCTTGGCCATGTTTTCATCTAAATGATTTATTGAATTTGTGTTCTTACGCTTGATGGACTTATTTGAATTTTTTCCTTGTTTTAGACAAATACGTCTAAATTGATTTTCAATACTTTTATTTGCATATTTTAATGTTCGAAATTTCAGCAAAGTTCGAACATCAAAATAGCTGGACTGTGCACAATTTTTAATATAATTATCATGAATTGTCTTGCCAATCACATTTGTAGTATTAGTATTAGGAGTAGGAGTATTTGAAGACATTTCATTATTAAAATCGTTGTTTACGGCAAATTCTTTAGTATTATTATAATAAATATTTATCACTAGTGGACTTTGTCTGATTTCACTTTGCTGAGTATTATTTGGAAGTAATTTTGATGTTGACCCGTGCTTTGATATATTGGTATTTTCACACACGGGGCTGTATTTTAACTTTCCTGTTAAGTTATCTCCAGTAGTTACATTCTCAAATGTTTTAGACCCTGAAAATTTTGAATTATTACTATTGACGTCATTTATTTTACACTTCTTTTCTCCTTCTTCTTTAGTAGCTTTAGCTGTAATATTAGTCATTCTCTCTTCGCTCAATGTTATCGTAGATCTAGAAGAACTCGGTTGTGGTAATGAAGTATTAGTAACTTGTTCATTAATTTTCTTTATACTCTTATATGCTTTGTTAACACTAGTAGTGTTTACAGCTATTTCAGTGTCATTATTAACGGTACTTATACTAGTTCCAAATTTCGACAATACTTTATTTATCTCTCCTATAGATTCGAAGGGGATAATGATCCCCTTCGAATCTCCTTCACTTTGTTTAAAATCTTGAGATATTTCTTCATCATCTGATATTATAATTGTTGTCATGATTGCGTGATTACGTTCTTTATTTTTTCACAATAGCACTGCCGACATTTATTTCTGTTCTCGTTCAATTCGATAAGACACTGACGTAATTATTTTTTTAACTTTTACGAAGAATACTTCAATTACTTTTTTTATCTGCTGGTTGTTCATTATTATCTGTAAAAAAACAATTTGGTTTTTTTAATATACACATAATAAACATTTTATTTTCATACCCCAATGTCTAATGTTAAACACATCCGCCAGTACAATACTTCACACGTATTTTTTTATATAATTGTGTGGTGGTGTGGCAGTGGCAAACGATGACGACCACTTGATTGTAAATGATAACCGTCGCCTAAATACATGAACAACAGCACTCGCAATACTATTCACTCCTTCTCTTCCAGAATAAAATAGAATAGAAATAATCTTTATTCAAATAAACTCAACATAAGCACTTTTGAATAGTCATACTTTTTTTGATTGTACCACTCAATCGGAACGCAGACCTATTACAAGAAGAACGAGAAAGAAACTTGCGTGTTGCGGTTTTAAATAAATGTTATTTTAAATAAATATATACACAGTAACAAGTAGGAGGCATGCGATAATCAACATAGAAACTGATACGCACTCATTCTTAATGCAATCAGATAATATGTGAATTTTAATTTTTTTCTACAAAAATAAGAGAAATTAGATGTGTTATATCTCATTTCACTTGCAGATACCTAGACAAACGTAGAACGGACATTATTAAATAGTTAATTATTATTATAGTATAAATATTTACGACACGAATAATTTTATGATAAACAAGCAGAGATACTCGACTTTGTCTGCCTTTTTTAAAATAAAATATAACTATGTCGTATCCGATCTTCTTATCATTTTTTTATTGAAAACCGTTCACTCGTTTAGTCGTAAATATGACAGACAGATAAACATACAGATCTTCACTTTTCTAATATTAATACGGATAAGGTATTTAACAATTTATTTTATTTCAACAATTGTTTGTATTGTGGACAAATTGCCTCGTTGACCTGACCTCATTCTCATCTTATCTGACGGCCTCTCATTTTCTGATGGTCGCGGGTTGGATTCCTCGCACAATGCAAACATTTGTAATCATGACTATGAATATTAGTAACGGTCTTGGTGTTTTCTATGTATTTTTATGGTAATAAGTTAACATTTTCCTACCTTTAGATCTTAAACAAAATTAGTAAAATAATTAATAAATCTTTTTATGTTCTGACTAATACGATATTATAGCACATTTACAAAGGAACAAAATTAAAAACCAAAAGGAATCGAATTAGAATTTTTCATACTAAATTAATTACATAACCTCCCACTTTGTAATACCCCCCCCCCCAACAATCCCCCAACACATTCAAACAGGCATTGAAATTACTACCGTCTATTTCCGCATAGTCTCGAACATTTAGCGTTGCCCTCAGAATAAAGTCGTATCCGTCAAGCAGGTGACGTTCAGCCGCTTCATAAGTTCATCCGCGGATTTCGAGTGCCTTCTGCACTCGCTCCCTTTTTTTTACGTTGGGAAAATCCTTCATTGGGACCCGCCCGTCTCCGGGGGTTGGACAGACGGGTACTGTGAGACTCCTACTCACCAAAAATCCCACGATATTCCTCCTCACCGCCATAGTGCCAAGGTCACGGGATCGAGCCGACAATCAACCGGGACCTCAGCGGCGGTTGCCCGCAAGCGGGCCCTCCTCAACGCGTGGGGGGTTGTGTGGACGGCAGACTTGAACCCCTGAGACTACCGCCCACACAAAACCGCGCCCGCTCCGCACGTGTCTCTACAAGATTAGAGTGCAGGCCGGGACGGGCCCCGCCAGGGCCCATTATCCCAACCTGTGCCGTCCATCTTCGCCGAACTATCCATCTCATCAAAAGCAGAGCTCGCGTTATGGGAACTAATATTTAATTATATTTTTTGCAAATAAATATATAATATACATAATATACAAATAACACACACACCGATAAACAATTATACACGTGAATACAATTGTTTGTACCATTCGAGGATTCGAACATAATACCATCAGAAATAAAGCCACAGACCACTGAGGCCGTGAAATGCAACGAATTTTCATTTCAAACAAAAAAACTCACCGACATAACTAAGTACGTCTTTACAAACACCTACATGAAGTAACGATCATCACAACACTAATAATCTTATCAACATTTCTATATAATTAGGGATTTTTATCGATTATTTATTCCACTGTTACTTTAATCTGATATAATATTAAAATCGCTATGTACATATATATACAAACGTTCACAATTCACACAGCGCGTCACTGTACCGGAGTATACCAGTTAATTTATGCGGAACTAGGGATTCGCTTACAAGTCTTACAACTCGTTTGCTAATCATTTCTCCGTTTAGTTATTTCTAAAACTAATATTATCCGCAGCTTGGGCGAATCCTGAGATGTAATGAGTAATGTAAATTAGACTCTATTTTTTATTTATTTATTTATTCTCAAGCACACAAAATTGTATACATGGCGAACTTAATGCCTGATGGCATTCTCTACCAGTCAACCGTCGCATTGATCAGAGATAGCACACAGCCTTGTGGAACACCAGCATTCACAGAATGTGGGTCGGAGCAAGCACCATCGACATCATCTTGATGCTCCGATCAATGAGAAAGCTGGCGACCCATTTGCATAACTTCGCAGGCAACCCGAAAGATGAGCTTTGTGCCAAACCCGATCAAAGGCCTTCGCAATATCCAGACTAACAGATAGGGCCTCCCCCTATTATTAGCTGTTTAAATATTTTCATTATTTCGGCTGATGTTGTGTGTGCCAAATTAAATACAGCTGATGACTTGCTAACATTGTCTTTTAGTAAAGTTTGAGCCTCAGACAGGAAAGATTTTAGAGCCCGTTTCTTAATTAATGGAAAATTAGTAAAATAAGATTCGAATCTATCCGCGACCTCTGTGTCCGAATTTACCAATTTGTTACTAATATTTTAGGCTATTTTGTTATTTTGAACGTTAACTTTTCCAGTTTCGCTTTATATTACTTTCCAAGTGGCTTTTACTTTATCTTTAGATTTAGTTATTATTTTTCCTAAATATGGAGACTTAGCTGTCTGACAAACCTTTTTAAATATTTTCGAATAAGATTTTACATATTCATGAAATAAAGGATCGGATATATAGCTTCATTTTTCGTAAAGTTCGTAAAACCTTATACTTATAATACCAAACGTGACCCAGTCACAAAACTTTGATTCTACACTAGTAGAAAATGTTTTTGTTTTAAATTCACTGCTAGGTTCTTGCTCAATTAAGTTAAGAATATGTTCACATATGTCAATGTCCGGGTCATATTAAGGTACTTCGAGACTAGATATTTTATGTTAAATTTTATTTTTAAAACGCGTCAATTTTTTTTGTGTTATCTGTCTACATGTAATTTTTTCAGTCCCATTAAATCCTTCAATTATATTTTTTTGTCTATAATGAGCCAAGACAGTGGAAATTCATTTTCACCTTTACTTCACAAATACTTAAAAATATTATCTGATATGACAGTGTAATTACAAGGTATCGAAACATGACACCTTTCTTAATTGAAGGGTTTGGACTATTATCATGCATTTTCGGCCTATATTTCGGCACTGTGATCTACATAGATATATTGTGCTCGCTCTTTTTTAAAGGTTGCTACCAAGACCCGTCAGGAACAAGAATTGAAGGAGCGCTGTTGTAGAGCCTAGACTGCCAGAACTCTTCTCAGATGCTAGAACTCTTCTCAGATGCGCAGAAGCCTCCTGATGTCTTCAAATATTTTCTGAGTGAACGAACTGTCATTACGCTAGTAAATGAAATTATGGAAAGACGGTTTTCAAAAAGGAATTGTACAGTAATATGTATTGAAAACAAGGCAGATAAAAGAAGCATGAGAATAATAGTGACAATATACTGTATATTGTCACTATTATTCTTATGCCATATCTTTAAAATATCAACTGATAGATAATATAAAACGTAAATAATATATAAAAGAGTGCGTCGTGCACAGACTTCACAGAGCGATCTCACCGTTCCGACGATTTGTGTATATTTGTGTTTATGCTGCTGCATGATTATTTCTGAGATGACCTTATTTGATGGTAGTTATTCAAATAAGATATTTTTATTATTTTAGACATATAACGTAACAGCTAATTTTCCTTACCAGTCTTCTGTACGTTAAGGATAGTGATAAAAAAATACAAAAATATGCAGACAAAGTGCCATAGACAAATAAACGATTAGTAATATTTGACTTCATAGAAAATATGTAAACTATCAAGCAATTTACTTTGTAAGTGTTCTAAATCCAGAACAGCTCTCTCGTCAGGCAAGGTTTTTGGTAATAAAATAAATATTCTTCTTAATGTGTATATATTTTAAAGAGGGCTATGCCATTACATTTTCCTATAAAAAAAATAAAAAACTAGAGGTTGAAATAGTGTTGACCGTGCAAAAAATGGAACATGCTTTCAACGTCTGGGATGTTGAAAGCTTGGCTTTCAACAAGAAATGTCAATCAGAGGGAAAATATTGCTAAACAATCTTCGGACGGCTCCATTAGTGATCTTCACATCCGCAATGCGATTAATGCCACCGGTTCCGGGATAAACTGCAACAATGCGGCCCATTTTCTATCTTATGAGAGGCAAATTGTCCTCCTTCACTATAACCAAATTGTTCAGCTGTAAATCTGACTTCTTAGAGTACCATTTATTGCTTTGCTATAGTTTGCTATAGCAGAAATGGTAGATCAAAAATTACAACTGAATAGTAGAATTTTGAACAAAATAAGTGCAAACGTAATTTGACAATGAAGAATTTGAATTGAACTTTTCTCTAGGATATAATATAATTCATATGATACATATAATAATAAGAATAATATTATATTGTAATAAATGGAACAACTGACATAGTTTTAACAAAAAATGGAGAG